CCCCAATCCCGGAGTCCCCCCTACCCGCCCAACCAGGCCACTTCAAAGCGGCAGGAGCCTAATCGCACAGCACAAGAAAATAAAAGACCTAATTAACCAAAACAAAAAGTCAAATCATCCAGGGGAGAAGGGAAGCAGAAATCCCTATTTGCGCCCATTCGATTTCCTGTACGGGTATAAGCTGTTCCTCCCCAGTGACACTTTTGTTCCAGTGCAGGTGTGGCTCAGGCTGGGCAAGGCCGTGGCTTCTAGAAGGAGAAGTGAGGCAAAGGTGGGCAGGGTGGCCCGCATCGGTCATTGCAGCCATTTGGGAGGCTGAGGCAGGAGGATCGCAAGGTGGAGGCCAGCCTCAGCCACTTAGTGAGACTGTCTCTAAATAAAATACAAAACAGGGCTGGAAAGGGGGCTCAGGGATTCAGGGCCTGTGGGCTCAATTCCCCCCAAATCCTCAAGGCCAAGAGAAATATGGCCACCAAGCTCCAAGGCAAGGGGGCCTCAGGCCCGGCCTGGTGGAGACTCCATTCGACAGGGCCTCAACTCTGGGCTGTTTCCGGGGACACCTGCCCAGATCCTCCTCCCACCTGCATGGAGTGACCCAGGGGACACACAGATGGCCGACCAAGGAGCTGCTGGGGGAAAAGTTGGAAAAAAATGAATTTTAGATGATCCCAGCTTTGCCCCAAGTCGGGCCCACGGCTTGTGACTTTGAACGTGACCTTCCAGCCCAGTGGGGGCCTCCACCGCGGAGGCTGGGCGTTCTTTTGGATTCCTCGCAGGACTCCGAGCATATTCTTTGATTGAACATTTGATATGTTCTGTTCTCAAGGGCGAAGCCCCGGGAGAAGAAAAATAGGCCGCAACAGGATGAAATATGAGTCCCTGCGTCCATTTGTCTTTCCGGTGGCTTCCTGTTCAGATATTCTGCATGAATCGAGTCTCAAGGCTGCGGCTGCGGGGACGTGGGGCTCCTCCCACACTGTCACCCAGAGCAAAGCAAAGCAAAGTCACCCGCTGTCCAGCGCCTGGGGAAAGTGCTGCCCAGGAAACTCGACTGCAGTCTCCTAGGGACAGTGGAGGCCACTCCATTTTGGAAGGGCGGCAGAGGGTGGGCGGAGTGTAATCAGGTGCCAGGAAACGCACTCCTGTATGGAGGGGCAACTGCACTGGAGGCTGCCTCCCGGACAGGGAGGCCCTGGAGGAAGTGACTGCAGGGTCAGGCCCTGTGACGCCTGGTGGTGGAGGACGGGGCAGACATGATACTGCAGAAAAGAAGGTTCTGGAAGGTGCCTTTTAAAGATATTTTTTGTACCAGGGATGGAACCCAGGGGTGCTTAACCCTGGAGCCCTGTCCCCAGCCCTGTTCTGGATTTTATTGAGAGACAGGGTCTCCCTGAGTTGCTTGGGGCCTTGCTGAGTGGCTGAGGCTGGCCTCCACCTTGCGATCCTCCTGCCTCAGCCTCCTGAGCCACTGGGATGACAGGTGAGTGCCTTTTAATGAAGAAAAGGCAACAAGTGTCCCTCACTGGGTGTGCTCACAGGGACAGGGAACTCAAGGCTGCACATAGGAGCCAAAGACACTCCGATGAACAAGGCCCTTCCCCTTGACACACACCTTTCAGTGAGCCTCAATATCTCAGGACAAACACGTGGCCAGCACCACGTGCTCCTGCAGCCGGGGGCAGTGGCGCACCCTGGAATCCCAGGCTGGGGAGGCTGAGGCAGAAGGATCACAAGTGGGAGGCCAGCCTCAACAATGTAGTGAGATCCTGTCTCTATGAAAGGGGCTGGGGATGGGGCTTGGTGGAAAAGCATCTCTGGGCTCAATCCCTGGTGAGAGAGAGAGAAAGAGAGAGAGAGAGAGAGAGTGCGCAAAGCAGCTCAAGCGTTGCCAAGGACGTGCTCTCCGGTTGCAAAGACCCCCCCCAGCCCCCTGCTGGGTTCCCTCCAGTCCCACCTGCGAGCTGACCACTCCAGGCAGGGCAGGCCCAAGCCAAGAGGAGCCAGCCGTGCAGCCTGGGCCCAGGAGGGAGCGGCAGGGTGACGAGCCGGGAGAGGAGACCCCGCTCATTAAGCACCCGGACAAAAGACCCGGAGCCGCAGCGCCGTTCATCCTGGCGGCCACCAGAGCAGGATGAATGGCCACACGGCGATGGCTGCATTTTTCAGACCCCTGTCCCCCAGAGAGAGATGAGGACGCGTCGGCCTCACCCCACGGGTCTCCAGACACACGTCCTGCATCTTCCTGGAGCTCCCACCCGGGAGACGGAGGGTGGAAGACGGATTCGGGGACACAGCGCGACAGGGGACGGGTCGGAGGGGACATGTTGCCCTCCACACTGCGGGGGCCACAGTGGGGTGGGGACATCAGATCCACTGGGTGGCAGCTAGCACTGGTGTGTCCCAGGAGCCCCGTGCGCTCTGAGCCACAGTCACAAGACGGGATGTGGCCCTCGCCCTCCCAGGCTGCTCAGCAGTGACACAGGACAGGGCAGGGGGGGGTGACCCCAAGAAATCACTGAGTAACTGCTAAGGGCTGTTGCCACCGCTGACCCCACAGGCCCACGGGTCAAGGGAGATGAAGCCCAATGTTCAGCTGGGCACAGCAGCCCACACCTGTCATCCCAGCAGCTGGGGAGGCTGAGGCAGGAGGATCGAAAAGTGGAGGCCAGCCTCAGCAACTCAGCAGGACCCTGTCTCTAAATAAAATAGAAAAAGGGGCTGGGGACGGGGCTCAGGGGTAAGGCATCCCTGGGTTCAATCCCTGGGACCAAAAAAAAGGAGAGAGAGAAGCCCGTGTGGTCACCAGGACCTGCCTCTGACGGAGGCCCACAGTTGAGGTCAGAGGTCGGCCTGGTTCTAAAAGCAGAGCGCTTCTTGACTTCACAATAAGGTCACCCAACGTTGACGACAGTCAGACGAGACGCGTTTCCTACTAAGGACCGTCACAGCTCAGCGAGGCAGCACACCACGGGGCCTGGGCTGTGCTCCTTGGTGATCTTGTGGTCCACTGGGAGCTCCAGCTCGCTGTCACCGAGCAGATCTCAAGGGAGTGTCTACTGCACTTGGCTCACGGGGCAGATCACAGTGGGGCCTCCACTGACGTCACATCCTGTCCACACCATCCTAGTCAGAAATCCTAAGTGAATCACTGTACGTTGGCTTCCCTCTAGGTACTAGAAAAGGCCACGGAGGGCTGAACCCAGGGGCCCTCGACCCCTGAGCCCCGTCCCCAGCCCTTTTTCTATTTTATTTAGAGACAGGGTCTCGCTGAGTGGCTTAGGGCCTCACTAAATTGCTGAGGCTGGCCTCCACCTTGCGATCCTCCTGCCTCAGCCTCCAAGTTGCTGGGATGACAGGGCTGCGCACTGTGCCGGGCACCTCCTCAGGTTTTTAACCTGGGTCTCCCACCTCCACCCAGACCAGGCAGGTGTGGAGGGGCAGAGGCACCCCTGGCTGGCTCAGTCCCTGCCTTTTGGTCCAGCAGGCAACACGGGAAGACGGGGTTTGGGAGAAAAGAAGCCTGCAATCCACAGAGGGCCACACACACACCCTCCCAGGGACACAGCTCCCTGTTCTGCTCCAGCCCCTCAATAAAACCTGCTTCCTGCCCTGGCCTGGGCCCTCAGGAGTTTACTCTCCAACCCCAGGGGACAAGGACCCGTCCCAATTGCCAAGACCAGCACCAAAGCCCCCCAGGACGGGGCGGATGACCCACAGCAGCGAGCGCAGGGGACAAGAAGGGATCAAAGCCTCCAGTCTGTCACTGAGCCTGGGACCCAGGACACCACCCAGCAATCCCCCCCTGCCCAGGACACACGTCCCCAGCACCTGGGGGCCCACAGAGGATTTCTAGAAGAAAACACACCAGAATCAAGGCAGGGGACCAGGTCAGCAGCAAGACGCAGACTCCTCTGACGTACGCACCCTTTGGGGCCAGACGCTTATATTATCATTTTTTCCAAAAGAAAAACACATTTTAGAGTTCTGCCCCTGGATTCCAGTGTTCTTACATGGGCTTGAAAAACTATCTACCAACACAAAAGAGTGGGCTGGGCTTGGTGGCCCACGCCTGTCATCCCAGCAGCTTGGGAGGCTGAGGCAGGAGGATCACACAAGTTAGAGGCCAGCCTCAATAACTCAGCAAGGCCCTGAGCAACTCAATGAGAAACTGTCTCTAAATAAAATAGATAAAAGGGCTGGGGACGGGGCTCAGACGTCCCAGGTGTGGCTGGAGCTCGTCCCCCCGGGGAACACAGCCCACACGCCAAGGACCTCTGTTCTAGAATATTCCATCAGTGAACACTGGCTCCCACGCAGAGACTCACCATCCAGAGGCTGGTGGGGACTGTCGGCCCAGTGGGCACTGGACACGGGTCTGCTGTGGTTTGGTGGGTTTGCTTGACTTTGAGGCAATGCTGGGGACAGGACCCGGTGTCCCTCTACGCCACTAAGCTCCACCCCGGCCCTATTTTTGTTTATTTATTTTGACTTGGGAGGATCTCACAGAATTGCCCACTTGCAATCCTCCTGCCTCAGCCTCCCTGGTCTCTGGGAGGACAGGGGTTCAGCCTCAGACCCGGCTTTAGGTGACCTTTACAGAGAACAAGGCCCTTTCTATGTGAGGGTATGGGGCACTCTCCAGGGACCAGGAAGCCAAGCGACCAAGGGACAGATGAGGGGTGACTTGAACTGTTCTTTTTCTTGGCTCTGGGGACTCAACCTGGGGGGATGTCAACCCCTTCTATGTCTGTCTGTGTCTGTTTTCTGGGGATAGGGCCTTGCTCAGTGGTGGAGGCCGGCCTCCACTCTCCATCCTCCGGCCTTGGCCTCCCGCCACCGGGCTACTACTGTTCAATGCAGACGCTCAGCGCAGGTTGGTGCGCAGCGGAACCCGGAGGCGCTGGGTCCCGGCACCCGGGGGGCGGGTCTGGGGCGGCGCACCGCAGCGTCGGACCCACAGCGCCCCCTGCCGGCGTCCCTCCCCTTCCGCCCGCGCTCACCGCCGATGATGGTCCGGATGAGGGAGGCGTGGCCCGGGCAGTCGACCAGCGTCACCTGCAGCTCGGGCGCGCCGGCCTCCGGCAGCGGCACCGCGAAGCACGAGAAGCCCAGGTCGAGCGTGATGCCGCGCTCGCGGCTCTGCGGCTGCCGGTCGAAGGCGGCGGTGGAGGCCGTGGTGCTGAGCGCGCGCGCCAGCGCCGTCTTGCCGCTGTCGATGTGGCCCAGCACGCCCACGTTCACGTTCCGCCGCGCCGCCATTGCCGGTCCGCCGCCGGACGGCCCCCCCACGCGCCCCGAGCCGCGTGCGCGCGCGTTCCGCCCCCCCTCTCCCCCCGGAGCTTCCGCCCGGCGCACCTCGTGGGGCGGGGCCGCTCGCCGCCCCCAGCCACTGCCCAGACCGGAAGGGGATCCCGCGGGCCCCGCCGCGTGCTCCTAGTTGGCGCCTACTGGGTTCCACCTGCAGGGCGCGGGGACAAACTACACCGAGGGGACCCAGGAGGGGACCCTGCCGCGTCGGAGAGCGACGGGACCCTGGAGAAAATGACAGCACAGAGAAATAGCGGGACGCAGGGGCGCACGCCTCTCATCCCTGCAGCAGGGGAGGCTGAGGCAGGAGGATGGCAAGGTGGAGGCCAGCCTCAGCCACTTTAGCGAGTCCCTGAGCAACTCAGCGAGACCCTGTCTCTAAATAAAATATAAAATAGGGCTGGGGACGGGGCTCAGGGGTGAAGCACCCCTGGGTTCAATCCCTGGTGAAAAAAAAAGTGACAAAGAATGTGGACAAGGATTGGGGGAAAGGGGACCCTCATCCATGTCTGGTGGGACTGCAAATGGGTGCAGCCACTCTGGAAAGCAGGACGGAGATTCCTCAGAAAACTGGGAATGGAACCACCATGGGACCCGGCTGTCCCACTCCTCAGTCTACACCCAGAGAACTTAAAATCAGCACACGACAGGGACACGGCCATGTCAATATTTACAGCAGCTCAATTGACAATACCTAAGCTTAGTGAACCAACGTAGGTGCCCTTCGGCAGATGAGTGAAAGAAGAAAACGTGGCATACATGCGCGTGTACACACACACACACACACACACACACACACACAATGGAATATTACTCAGCCATGAAAAATGATGGMTTTAAGGGCTGGGGATATAGTTCAGGTGCTTGCCTCGCATGCACAAAGCCCTAGGTTCGATCCCCAGTACCAGTAATAATAATAATAATTAATAATAATAACAATGGATGGAATGGAGACGATCTTGCTGAGTTAAATAAGCCAATTCTCCCCCAAAACAAAGACTAAATGTCCTCTCTGATATGGGGACACTGGCCCACAATAAGTGGGGGACAGCAGTTCACTGGATGAGACACAGGGGAGTGAGGGGAAGGGAGGGGAGGGACTGGGAGAGACAGGGGAATGGATGGACGTCCCTTTCCCATGTTCACATAGGAACCCACAACCAGGGACACCCCACAGCAGGTCCAGCCACAGGAGTGGGATCCCAGTTAGAGCAAGTCACACCCCTTGTACATATAATGTGTCCAGATTCACGCTGAGCTGCACCCCCAGCCTGCAATCTCTGCCTTGGGGTGGCCACAGCCGGGTGAGAAACAGGGACACCCCCTACCATGTGGTATTTATGAGCTGAGGGAAAGCAGGTTCTCAGGGACGGTGAGCCGTGTCCTGGGATGTGCCATCAGGAGGCTTCTGGGGACCGTGACCCCCTGATCTCCATGAGGGCTGGGGATGAGGCTCAGAGGTGGAGCCCTTGCCTGGCGCCTGTGAAGCTCTGGAGTCACTCCACGGTGACCTGGCACTCAGCGGAGGGCCCCCTGATCCGGCAAAGGTCTGGAGGCTTGACCTGGGACAGGGTCACTGAACATGGCAGAGCCGAAAGGGACAGGAGGACGGCTTAGTACCAGGGATGGAACCCAGGGGTGCTTCACCCCTGAGCCCCGTCCCCAGCCCCTTTTCTATTTGATTTAGAGACAGGGTCTCCCTGAGTGGCTCAGGGCCTCGCTCAGTGGCCGAGGCTGGCCTCCACCTTTCGATCCTCCTGCCTCAGCCTCCTGAGCTGCTGGGATGATAGGCGTGGGCCACCGTGCCTGGACACCTGTAAATGTACCATGCCCCCAACTTGAATGGGACTCACCCCCAAAGCACTAGCCTAAATGGACATCTCCCTCCACAGCAGACTCCCTGGGTCCCCTACAGTCCCCATGGCTGGGGACAGTCCCTGGGGACATGGCTGCCTGCAGAGCTGCGATGATTGGGAATGTGTCTCTAATGGGAACGGGATGCCGGCTTCTGTCTGTGTCTTCAATGCCATTTTTGAAACAAAGGTGGTTCAGAGTTCTGCACAATCCGCCCCGTAATGAATGCGACTCCATCAAGGCGCATTAATCCAGGATTAATTATAAATGGGCCCAGAGGAAGTTATTACACTTTTCTTCTTTGATTTGAATTCGGGCTTTAAAGATGCTTTCAGGAGGGAAATGGAAATTTCTCTTTTCTCCGAGGGGCCCTACCTTGCCGAGCGATTGCAAATTAACCCTGTGTGTTCCTCAGCGCCTCCTACATCCACCAGCCTCAGAGGACCCTGTCCCCCAGGCCTCCACCCGAGCTCCCTGCCATTCCCAGAACTGGACAGATCCGCTCAGGCCACACTGAATCCCAGGTGGGGGACGTCTGACGCAGTGGCAGAGGCTGACTCCAGCCAGGCACAGTGGTATCCAGTTGCCTGGCATCCAGGTTGGCTCGGGAGGCTGAGGCAGGAGGATGGCGAGCGAGTATGAGGCCGGCCTCCACAACCTAGTGAGACAGTGACTCAAAATAAACACACCAAAGAGAGCGAGGGTTACAGCACCATGGTACAGCCTTCCTGGGCTCCATCCCTAATAGTGCAATAAATGAGAAAAACTGCTGCTGAATTTGGTTTCCAAATATCAGATTTTTGGGGGAGGAATTTTGTATCTATGTTCACGGGGGATATTGACCTCGGTTTTTGCTTTTTTTTTTTTTTTTTTTCATTCCTTGTGCTTTACCTGATGCTGTCATCAAGATAATGCTGGCTTCATAGAACATATGAGAAAACATGTCTTCCTTTTTATTATTATTATTATTATTATTATTATTATTATTTTGGTAAGAGTTTGAGATGCATTTAGTTTCATTCTCTGTTTTGGCACCAGGATTTGAACCCAGGGGCACTTACCCACTGAGCCCCATCCCCAGCCCTTTTTCTATTTTATTTAGAGACAGGGTCTCGCTGAGTTGCTCAGGGCCTCGCTAAGTGGCTGAGGCTGGCCTCCACCTGGAGATCCTCCTGCCTCAGCCTCCCGGGCCCCTGGGATGACAGGCGTGGGCCACTGTGCCCAAGTGAGAAAAATAAATGACTTCTGTTTTGCTTTATCCACTATTGTCTTGAGTCTCTCCGTGAATGCAGCTGTACTAATATTCTAACTGATACAACACTAGGTCATCCCGTGCCCAGCTGTGAGTGTTCAGCTGAGGTCGGAGGCCATGGCGACACCAGGGCTCCCAGGGAACCCTGGGTGACTTTCTCCTCCTGAGCAGCAGTACAGAAGGCAAGGTTGGCTTGACCCCAGGCTTGGGGGTTCAAAGGTCAGATGGGACAGAGGTCAAGACAGGCAGGGAGCAAAAGAGTTGGGAACCAAGTGACTGAGGGCATCCGTCTTGGGCTGGAGAGAGGAGAGGTGGAAGGACTTCAGGTGAAAGGGGATGGGAGTGAGAAACTGAGACACGGCAGAAATGGGACTGTCCAGTGCACGGTTCCAGAATGCACTTCTCCATATGATTACTTGTGTATGTTTCATCACATTGGTCTGGCTTTTTAGTACCTATTAGTGGATAAAAACATAATTGAAGCCAGGCATGGTGGCATATGCCTGTCATCCTGGTGGCTTGGGAGGCTGAGGCAGGAGGATCGCAAAGTGGAGGCCAGCCTCAGCAACTTAGTGAGTCCCTAAGCAACTCAGTGAGGCCTTGTCTGTAAATAAAATATAAAAAGGGCTGGGGATGGGGCTCAGTGGGTAAGCGCCCCTGGGTTCAATCCATAGTATAAAAATAAAGAGCATGGATTCAATAATGTGTGTGTGTGTGTGGGGGGGGGTTTCTAGAACCTTCTTTGAATTCATAAGAAGTCTTATCTAGAAGCTGGTTTGTAGACTGTGTACCAGGTTCCAAAATTAAAATTAAAATGGTAAATATGTGTTCTCCACCTTCATCATGTAAAGCAGTCGAGGGAAAGAGGCAACCATCAAGTCAATAATTATGTCAATAATCAGAGTAAAATAATTAGATTTAAAAGTCAGACTAGAGAGGACAAAGAAATCATAGGGGAATCAGAAACACCCGCATGGACTGGATCTCAGGCGAGTCTTAGCCCTCATGTAAGCTCGCTTATCTCTGGCGCACACCTCTAATACCAGCGGCTTTGGAGGCTGAGGCAGGAGGATCGCCAGTTGGAGGCCAGCCTCAGCCACTTAGCAAGGCCCTCAGGTAGTGAGACCCTGTCTCTAAATAAAATACAAAAATGGGCTAGGGATGGGGCTCAGTGCTTTAGAGCCCCTGGTTTCAATCCCCAGTCACCAAACAAACACCCCAAAATGCTACTCGGGGCCACCCACCACCTGGGCTCAGCTCCTGAGCCAGGGAGGAAAACCCAGGGATCCCTCCTTCTGCGCTCACACCCCCCTAGAGTGAGCCGGAAGCACCTGTTGCCGGGGAAGCCAACGCAGTGACACAGCCGGAAGTGTGTGGGCGGAGCTCTACCGGCAGCTGGTGATGAGCGCAGGCCTGAGCCAATGGAGAGCGGCGGCGCTCGGATCTCCTCCAATGGGGCGCCGACGGAGGCGGGCTCTTGCGAGCCGCCCTAGTTACGGCCGCATGGTAACCCCGGGGCCGCCGGGGGCGCGGGGTAGCGGCGGCTGGTGGCTCGGCGGCGGCGGGTTGGGCTCCCGGGCGGCACCATGAAGATCGAGGAGGTGAAGAGCACCACGAAGACGCAGCGCATCGCGTCGCACAGCCACGTGAAGGGGCTGGGGCTCGACGAGAGCGGCCTGGCCAAGCAGGCGGCCTCGGGGCTCGTGGGCCAGGAGAACGCGCGGGAGGTGCGGGCCCGGGGCGCGGGCTGCGGGGACCGGGCGGGGGACGTCCCGGGGGCTCGTCCCCGACTCCGCCATCCTCAGTGTCGCCTTGGTGCCCGGGGTTGCCCGCGGGGCCACATCGCGGCCCTTTTTTTCTTTATTTCGAGACAGGG